ACTGAGAAGTAACCCTATGTATATAAGCAATGTGGGGAAAGCATTCAGTGAACAGTTTTTTATCAACTAGATAAAAAAATTTACACTGGGGAGAAATCCTCTACGTGAACGTCTATTTTGAAGACTGTGAAATTTCCTCATGAAGTTCAGAATTATATAAATTAAATGAAAAATTTGATGTTAATATGTTTTGATAAATTTTCCAGAAAATACATATCCAAATGGAGATATCCTAGAAAGTACTTTTTCTGTGATTTTGAGCAAATCATGAATATGTGAACTATGTATCTTTAGCTTTTACTATAAAAAATATTACATTATTTCTTTTTGTGTAAGCCAGTGTCTTTAAACTTAATATGTATCCTTATAATTAAAAATTTAATTGCACTTTTCATTTCTGAGTGGGATTAATATTTATGTAGTTTTGGTTTTGTTTTGTTTTTATTGGGAGGAACAGACCACTAAAATTAAATTTCATTATTATCTTTTAATTGATGGGATTACCCAGTAGTTTTGATTTTAATTTTCTTGATGTATATACTTCATATTCTGTGCTTAAAAAGATAATTTGTAATTATATATATGTCTATGCATATTTAGAGACATAGGTAGATGAGTTTCTGAAAAGTTCAGTTGTTTTCACACAACACATAGATTAGTCTTTTCTTTTCTTTCCTTTCCTTTCCTTTCCTTTCCTTTCCTTTCCTTTCCTTTCCTTTCCTTTCCTTTCCTTTCTTTTCTTTTCTTTTCTTTCTTTTCTTTCCTTTTCCTTTTCTTTTCAGCTGTCTCATGCTCCCTTAAAGGGAGGTCTGGTGCGCTATGTGGAGCTAGGGATCGAACCATGGTCACCTGTACTGACTAGGTTTGTCCAAGCAGGTGCTTTAAACAACTGAGCTAACCTGCAAACCCCCTTCACAACATACAGATTAGCGTATATTTTGTTTCTGATAGCCCAACAAGGTAACTGGATATTTCAACATAATTAAATCAAGTACATAATTTTGTCGATTTTTCTTTCATGTCGTTCTCCATATTATGATTTTCATAAATATTTTCTTATTAATATTTTACTTTTTATGTTTATATTCTTATGGCTTTAAATTTTGTGGTAGTTTTACCAAAACTTGTACCAATAACTTAGCCATCCTTCTGATTTTGATTGTCCAAAATCAGATGGACCATAATTGTTTGAAAGGATATCATGAATTGTAATGTGTCAGTCAGCGCTTACTAGAAAAACAAGTTTAATGCAAGATATACACATACATAAGAATTTATCGTAAGAATATGCTGGTTGCACATTCAAATATAAAAGTGTGCAAAAGGTCTGTTTTTGGCACAGCCTATCAAAAAAATTCAGTTGAAGACCTGAAACCCTCTCAATTATAATGTGCAAATCTGTATCAGAAGACCAAAGGTTCTGTGCTGGGAGACTGAATGGTGTGAACTGGGGGCTCAAGAGTCTGTGCTGTAAGCCAAGAGATGACTTTGAAGGTGGTGGTGAATACTGGAGCTGTTGCAAATAAACCAAAGTGAGCCTTGCTTTTTCATTTCGTATAATATTCTGGGAAACATCCTCCATAGTGAGTCTTCCACACTTATGATATTGATGAAAAAATTTAGTTGAATATGTAGTACTCAAGTTGAAACAGTTAACTCACAATCCACCCACTGACAACTTCACAACCAGACATATTTATCTATTCATTCATTTTTTTTTTTTTTGGAACCATGGATTGAACTCAGGCTCTCACGCTTACCAGGGAAGCACTTATTCTACTGAGCCATCTTCTCAGCCCCAGACATTTATTTAAACCAGTTTCTAGGTACAAAGAGTAGCTCATAAATATACCTAACATTATACCTGTCCTGAATACAAATAGGAGCACATTACTTCCCTCCCCAGAATAGAAGTTGTCTTTGTGTGATGCTTCTAACAGCTCATAATGTGAAAAGTCACATAAGTTTAGCAAGACACAGCCAAAATTAAGTCCACATATTACATTGAAAGCATATTAGGAAAGAGCTATTACAATTATAATCTTTGTTTTAGTAGCTGATTAACAGGGTCATAGCTGTTATTTAGAACTACCTTCTACCCATTCTGTAATTTGTCAGCCTTTAGCAAGCACCTTAGCAGGTCTTGATGCTTTCCTTCATAAGGTGACCTATAATTTTATTTTTAATATTCTGGATCATTTGATATAATGCTTTGATTGGATTGTTACAGTTTTCCATTGACTTTATGAACAAGGCAAGGTTACATTTGGAGGTGCCCTAAGGGATCTCCTGCATGCCAAGTATATTCTTTCTTTTCTCTATTGTAGAGTAATAAACTGATTTTCTATTGACAATCTGGATCACTCACACCTTTCAAAACTGTCACACTTTTCAGCTTAATTCCTCAGATGGATAAGGTGATCAAAATTACCAGGAGGGAGCCAGCCAAATAGCTCAGCAGATTAAAGCACCTGCTTTAGTGGCTAAGGCTTGATCCCTGGTGTGCTGTGCCAGCCCCATCCCCAGGATGTGCTGAGACGGCGATTGAGACTGGGTGTGGTGGTGCATGCTTATAATCACAGCTTTTGGGATGCTGAACACAGGCAGATCACTATGAGTCCAATCTATGTAGTGAGACCCTGTAGGTGCTGTACTAAGTACAAAAATAAATAAATGAATAAATAAATAATTATTTACCAGGGGGAAGTCTTTGCTTCCAGCTCAATGGTATCCTTGTGCTTCCTGGTAACAGCTTTCTGCCCTACCACAAACGGACCTAAGACACTTCTAAACCATCAAAGCATAAGGTCATGAGAATATGGTGCACAATTTTATAGCAAATTACTTAAGTAGTGGTGAGTAGTCCACTGATACTTTCACCTCTTCATCCCTGGACCCATGATTCCTGGCTATGTGAAACAGTACCACGGAGTAGATGCTGACTCTAGGCATTTATTCAACTTTTTAAAGAACCCTGCCACAGTCCTGCAAGCTGCCTAACTGTTGATGCACATTTGATTTCAATAGACAATTCCACCTTACTATCTAGTCAGCTGCTTCTGAATATTGAGCAAGGTAAAACCATTGAATTCTATGAGTGTGTGCCCATTGCATCAATTCTTTGGCCATCAGATGTGTTCCTTGGTGTGAGAATCAATGTGTGGAATTTCATGATGCTGGTTAAGTCACTGTGAATTCATGCAAGGGAGAATTGGCTGAAGCATTACAGACTTGAAAGGCAAACCATATCCAGAGTAAATATGGCAGTATGCGCAAAACACACTCTGAACGAAGTGGTTCAATCTGATCAGATCCTGAAAGACTCATCATCCAGCGGGCTGGTGAGATGGCTCAGTGGTCTGGAGCACCTACTTAGAACAGGCTTAGCAAAGCACAGGGAGCATGGTTCTATCCCCCAGCACCACATGCCAGCCAGCCCCACCCCCTGGTGGGCTGAGCTGGCCACACACACACACACACAAATAAATAAATAAAATTAAAAAAAAAAAGACTCATCATCCAGGGAATGGTGTCATACTGAAGAATTAGTATGGTTGTCTTCTGGTGGGCTCTTGGGCATTCAACAGTGCCTGTGCCCAGACCTAGCTTGGTGAATAGAGTCCTTGTTGCTGAGCATGTGTAGCCTCTAACACTCCCAACAGGGCCAGTCTTCTTCAGCCCTCTTGGTAGATACAGGGATGTCTGAAGAAAGAAGTTGATGACTATTTTACAAAACAGGTCATTTTATTATTGATTTGACTACTTGATTATTAAAAGTCCTGTTCTGCTGAGGTCAAATTTTGGTGAGTGTTTAAACAGGATACAAACATTTTTACCTCCTTTGCCCACATAGATAGGGCCATCCACATACCACACAGCAAAATATCTGTGTCATCAATTTTCCAGTTATGTGCCTCCAAGTATTTGACTTGACTCCTGAAGTGACAAGTGGCTACAGCCCATGAATGAAAATGCAGTCACATATCTGGCCATTTTTCCTGCCAGGCAGAATGTACTCTGAGGTGCATTGCCTGAAATTCTATCCACTGGGGAGATTTCCTTTCGCCAGTGTCTTTTTTCAGGGGCATCCTGGAAAGGGTTTGTAATTCTGCAGCTGTGCACTTGCTGAGGTTGCCTGCATAGCATGCAGAACCATCAGGAAAAATGGCTAGCATTTTATTTTTCCCTCTAACAGTTCATATGGTACTTTCCATGTGTCCTTTGGTGTATGTTGGGAAACAATGTGATTATGGAATAGTAAGAACCACTGACATCTATGTAACTTTGTGTAACTTATGTCCTTTGGATCTGCTCTTTCTTGATCATGTATACACCACCTCCATTTACTGATAGAGTCGTGCTCTGCACATGCAAGTTATGAATCAGTAGATTCTATAATACCCAGCTCATGATAGGGATATCAAGTTACATGGTAACCTGGTGTCTCATATTTGAGCATCACATTTTCACTGAGGACCAGTAGCAAGCCAAGAGCTGTTTTTCAAAGGAAGAGTAATTGTCTACAGATGAAGACTGTTTTCTTCCAAAATCCTAAAGGTGTGCATAACAATTTACAAGAGAGGGCCTGCCAGAGGCTACAAAGAGCATCTTTATCTGCTACTGACTCTTGAAATAACCATTGGATCTGCTGAGTCATATGATTTCAGTGGCAGAGCAACATGAGCCTGTTGCAGAAACTTTCACTGTTCAGGGCCTCACTTAAAAGTAGTAGCTTTCTATTTTTTAATTTTATTGAGAAAAAATTGCAAT